CGAGGGCGACTGTGGCGAGCCCACTGCAGAGAAGTGCGGAGGCTGCGTCGGTCTACCCATGCCCAAGCCGGAGCTGGCGGCACCGTTGCTTGCGGCCGCACCGTTGGTGGAACCACTGGACGCGGCAGCGGGCTTGGTCGGATCGCCTCTTGCAGAGACTTCGTCCACCTTGGCAGAAGGAAGCAGCGGGCGGCCGGAGGTAGTCGCCCCGCTGCTGGAGGGCAAGGCATGGCTCGATGGCGGTGGCAGCTGGCCAACAGGAGCGACGGCAGGAGATGGACGGGACGTCGCTGCGCCCGACGACGTCAGGATGCCAGTCTCTGCAGGCTTGGCGCCAGATGGCGGAGCAGGCAATGCCTGCGACGGCACGATAGGCGGCTTGGCCAACTGGACGTCGGTCGTCGCTACGGACGACGCTTCCAACTCTGCAGCGGTCAGCGCGTTGGCTGCTCCTGTGCCTTTGTGACCGCTGACGAGTTTGATTCTCTGGCGAGGGGAATCGGCACCGTCGGCATTGCGTACCGGGCTGTCGGATCCGTTACTCGAGCGCGAAGCTCCGCGCTGGTTGCTGCGCGGGCTCGACTTGGAGCGTTGCGCAAGGATGCCAGGGTACGGAGCCGGTGTACCTTGCGAAGGCGGACGACATCTGGAGCAGAAGAAATCGACGGAATCCCAATCGCGTCTCTTCTTGAGGCCAAGTACGAGCTTGTCGAAGCTGTCCCAGCACTTGATGTGCTGCCAGACATTGCACTGTTCGCAGCAGACGATCTCGTCGTCCTCGTCGGGAGGGCTGATGGCTGCTTTCCCGCAGACCTCGCAGTTGAGCTCCCAAACCTCGTCCTCCTCGTCCTGGCCGTTGACAGGATGCATCGAGCCGTCCTCGGGCACGGGGGTGGAGTCTTTGGAAGGCGGCGGCACGCCGCCATTGGCAATGATCTCTTCGCGCCTGCGTTTGCGCACTTCGCGCTCGTGTTCGCGGCGTTCGCGCTCCTCTTCCTCGCGGATGGCACGCGTCTCGATCTCGAGCTCTCTGGCACGTAGACGCTCCTCGCGCTCCCGCAGGCGATTCTCTCGGGCTCGTTGCGCCTCGTGCTCTTCCACTTCCTTCTGCCGCTGATTCTCCTCTTCCTGACGGATGGTCGCCATCTTCTCTTCCATCCTGACGCGAGCTTCGCGATCGCGCTCGCGCTCCTCGCGTTCGGACTCTTTCATGGCAATACGGCTGGAGCGCTTGCGGTTGGCGAGCGCCTGCTCCATCGCACGCTGCCGCTCGATCTCGTCCATGGCGGCGAGCACCTGGTCAAGGATTTCGTTGTTGATGAACTGATGCAGGTTCTTCTCGTTGGGGTCCTTTGATTTGGCAAAGCGCTTGGCAAAGTCGAGCCACTGCTGGCGCGTCACCACGATGGTCTCGAACTCGATCCATTCCTCTTGCTCTTCGTCGTCTGCTGGTCTCTCGTCTTCTTGCTCCGCTTCTTCCACCTCCTCCTCGGCCGCCGCTTCTTCTGCTGCTTCGTCTGTGCCGACCGTCTCCATCTTGACGTCGAGGCTGGCACCGTTGCTCTCGTCGTTGGTGGTGTCGGGGAGGTCGCTCAGGTCGGAATCTGAAAGGTCCGAGTCGTCGTCGGCGCCGTTGTCACTTGAAGGCTTTGTGTCACCTTCGCCGTCGAGCGGGGCGAATCGGGCAGATGTTCGCGTTCCGCGCCTCGGTGGGGGCTTGGAAGGTGTGGAGGTGGCGGAAGATCGCGTGCGTTTGGAGGGAGTCGAGACGGGCGTCGCATCCGAAGGCCGATTACGCTTGGTGCCAGAGGCTTTCGGCGCGGGTGAGGATTTGGCGGCGCTCGAGGCGGCGCGTCGGGCAGCGGCTGCTTCCGTCCTGGCCCGCTTCGTACCCTTTTTGGCGGGCGGGCGTGCCTTGACAGCAGGCTTGGGCAACGGCTCCGGGCGCTGGATCCAGATGCGATTGTCGTCAAAGAGCCAGTATGCATTGTCATGCGCATCCCAGCCGATGGGAGACACGCGCCATGTGGTGACGTCTTCCTCGGACTTGACGAGCTTGCGGAAGCGCTCCGGGTCCATGAGCTGCCACTCGCACAGATCGTGGAGTGTACCGATCTTGTCCTCAAGCGAAAGCTGCGCCCACTCGACGGGTTGCTCCACCGTACCGAAGCGCGCCTGAGAGTCGGTATCACGCAGGTTGTACTGCGTCCTGAGGTGATCTTGCCAGTTGTCCAGGGTGATGGAGCGATCAAGCGTCAGAGTGTAGAGAAGCCGCTTGATGAGGTCGGGAACGACATTTGCCTCGTTGTCTTCAAAGTCCGACTCGAGCGTCTCGGTCTCGAAGCCGCTCATGCCGAAGGCCTCGTCGAAGACGAAGAGAAACTGGCAAACAGCGGCGAACTTCCACATCTTGCGGAGGCGCTTTGTGATCGGATGGAGCTCGACCACCTGCGGCTGGGCGGCAGGGGCCGACGGGCCGGCCACAGCACCAAGGGACCGTCTCGCAGGCATGTTGAAGTGTAGCCAAGATGCAGACGCGAGGAACGGGCGCAAATCCCGCTTGTCGACGGTAGGAGGTTGTGCAGGACGCAGGAAGTGGTGTTCCCGTGCAGGCTGGACCGTTGACCAACAAGATCCTGAAGGTGGCGATGCGTCGGGGTAGCGGCAGTCGGTGCTAGCTGGAATGGCAAGCTGATGAAAGAGGCGCTCTCTCTACCTGCTGACTAGAGCACGGACATGGTCGAGGTGTCGGGTGAGGGTGAAGAAGGAGGATGGTCCGAAGCGCGGCGTGCAAATTAGTCGTCGTGCGCTCTGCTTTCGTCGCGGGGGGCTGGAAGGACGAGATTGTTAGCCGTCTCTCGCGACATCCACGCCCGATTTGCAGAAAACAACCGGATTTTGCGCTCTTGTCCCAGGTTCTTTTTCCCTTTGCGGCTTATTCCGAGAGAGAGAGCATCGGGTGGCGGAAAGAAGGCTTGCAAGCGCGCCCAGAATCGCGCGCATCTGCACCCGCACTTTTTGCCTCATGTGCGGATCTCGCCCGGCACAACTCTCCGGTGCTGCAGCAAAGGGCAGGCGACAACGGGTGCATTGTGAACACCGGGTCGACAACCTGTCCGACCCGATCATAGGACGAACATAATTACAATATAGTGCGATGATCCGCAAGACCGCGTAGAGAGGAGCGAGCACGAGATTTACAGCAAGAGACGAGTGGGCGGACGGAGCGTTGGGTATGCAAGCTAGGCTGGGGGGTGAACAGCAACGAATGCCGTCATCTGGAACGCTGCACCATTGCCTCAGCAACGGGTGGTTTGTCCGAGGCGGTCTCGGTGAGGCGATAGTGTGCCAGAGGGCGGCTCAGCTCGCCCTTGGCGCGACACTTGTACAGGAACCCCACCACCACTTCTCCTTCCTTTGGCGCGGGCTGCGATGCAAAGTGTTGCGTGGCGACCTGGCTGAGGTAGTTGCCTGCAGCGTCTGCATCGAAGAAGTGCGGCGGGCAAGCGGGCTCGTCGTCAAAGGCCTTGGATGCTCCGGGTCCGGATGTTGCTGCGATCTCGGCAGTAGTTGCGTCATTCGGATAGCGTTTCCTGCTCGAGCCCAGCGCTGGAGGTGGTGATGCTCGCCCTTTTCGCTTTCGGCCATTGCTGGATGATTCTGCGCTAGACTGCGACGAATCTTGTGGTGGATAGGATTGTGCCAAGTCGAAGAAGGAAACGTACGAGTGGACCACCTCGGGCGGCAGAGCCTGAAAGTCGACGACGGGCTCTGTTCACCATACACATTGTAGGAGCAAAGAGAGTCAGTTGGGGTGTAATCAAGGAAACGTCTCGCCCAACGCAGTCCTGCAGCCTGCTTACCTCGGTCGACATCGTCGTTGGCCTTGGACTTGTCTTTCGACTTTGGGTCGTCGTTCGCGACCATGATGACACGGCAAGACGGTCCTTTGTGAGAGCGGCGAAAGGAGACTGGATGAAGAGTAGGAAGTTCGAGCTGAGCGGTGAAAGACGAAAGTCGGAAGCTGACGCCGGTGGACGAGGTCAAATGTCACGACTCTGACCATCCATGCTGCATCGGATGCACCGAGCGCGTTGACTGGGGCCTCGAAACCCGAATGCCGAATTTCCAGTAGCAGACCCACAAAGCGCCAGCCTCGACGCGAGCCGTTCAGCGCTGCACGGGTCACGCTGAAAAGCCCGCGCAGCTCCCACATTGCCCGTTGCTGAGCCAGCTGCTGCTTCCTTCAGACTAGCGTCTCTCTGAGCGGCATGTTGATCCGCACGTCGTCGGAGGCACGGCGAGATCTGAGCCAAAACCGGCGCGAGCGGAAATGGCAGCATGAATGGTCGGCGCGGCGCTTTCCTGCTCACGGTCCTCTAGGTTAGTGGCGAGTCGTAGGACCCTTAACGCACGCACCGCCCGCTCTTTTTCTGGAAACACACGCAGATGCAGCGGCACGCAACACGGCACGCCCGACGTGAATCGCCTCTGGCTGCCCTCTGAGAAATCACATACACTTGCAGCTCCACATGCATGCTCCTCATACCGCACTCTTGTCGGCCGCTTCCATGCCGCCCTCACCTACTATCCCGCCGAGCCGCTCTGCAACCTCTGTCACATCCTCGTTGCCTCATCACCCTCATCCTGCATCGCTCCTCGAGATTTCATCTCGTTTCCAGTCAGCACATTGAAAGGTTGCATCGGACCATCCGCATCGAGCCATCTCGCCTCTGGACCTCGCTCGCCAGAATTGCTCCTGGCTGCAAACAAGCTCCCTTCGCATAGCCCCTCCTACCTTGCGGAAGCAGTCCGAAGCAGCTCGAGTCTTTCTTCAATCACTGCCACAACGAGGCTGTCCATCTCCGACGTGCCAGACGTTCAACTGCCAGCCTTCGCTTGCGCGCCGACCATGAGCAGGAAACGATAGCGGAAGCACATCCTCGCTGTCACCCTTGCTTTTTACAGCTCTGTCGAATCTTGCGCTACGCCGACTCGCCATGAAAAAGTTCTTCTCACGCTTCTCCGCGGCTGGTCCCGTCACGCCCGCAAAGCCAAGCCAGGAGCCAAGCTTCGACCGCTCCGAAAAGCACGACCTCTTTTCGCCTGCCGTCAAGGCAGCGCCTGCCATCGCTTCGCCGTTCAATTCCACCGGCCGAACAAGAGCCCTTGTCGCCAAGTTCGAGGGTGTGGCTGCTCCTCCGCAGTCTGAGACCGCCAGCACGTCGACAGCTCCTCAACTTGCGATACCTGTCCCCACCCCAGATCTTCCCATTGCCGGTCACGCTCACCCTCCGCTTCAACCATCCTCATCGTCCGGCCTCGGCACCGCCTCTGTACCAAAACGTATCCCCGGCTCCAGTCTACCGGCTTCAGAGGACCTGGCATCGCGAACCCAAACCTTTCAATCCGAGACCGCCTTCGACCCTCCTGGTTCTGCATCTGTAGCAGCAAGGACGGACTTTACGGAGGTCAGCTCGAATGGACAAAATGCACATGCGATCAAGACGGTTGCTTTCGCTCCTTCGCCTCAGAAGCAGCGGTCCACGTCGCCGGCACACATCGGCACCTCGCACCGTACAGCAGCGTCACAGCCCTTGTCTCGCACCAACTCCAACGACACCAACGTTTTCGCTACGCCGGGCAACTTCGCTCGGCCAACGGCTGCCAGCCAGGCAAGAGCACGCACCTGGACAAGATCGGCTTCCAGCGATACCAGTCACCCACCCGCCCCGACTGTCTCGACCAATCTCCGTGACAGAGGTACGTCAGTCCAAACACGATCATCTAAATCCAGGATTTCTTCGTCGATGCGCTCGACCTCTCGTCGCAGCTACTCCTATTCGAGCACTCCCGTCTCCCGCGATGGAGGCGCTTTACTGGCTTCCTCAGCTCTGAGCAGTACCGGCAGCCAGGGCCAGAGCCAGAACACCGACGCGTCATCACGGCCCGTGGCTCGAGGGAGCTCCTTCGACTTGGCACCAGGCATCAGCGCGTCTCCTATCGCCAGCATCGACTCGCACTCGCCTGCAACGGGCCCCTTGCAGTTTCCCACACGCACATCGCTATCCATGCGCAAAAGCTACTCTGGTTCCAACAGCAGCCGCCCTACAAGTCGCCGCAACAGCGTCGATCCACACTCTCCGACTGCCCCCGGCGAACCAGTCATCTTTCCTCCCTCCGCCAGCCCAGCTCTTCGACCTTTCGGTTTCCCGACATGGAGCGAGATGACCAACGAGGAGCTTGTCCGTAATCTTGGCCCGCGCGAGCGAACACGACAGGAAGTGCTGTGGGAGATCGTGGCGAGCGAGGAGCGATACGTGATGGAGCTGGAAAAAGTGAAGGATCTCTATATCGACGCCCTCATCAACCCCGAGCATTTTGATCTCGAGCGCGTGCTCCCGCCAGTGCGTCCACCCTCCGTCGCCTCGCCAGTCGATGTGGACGAATCGCAATGCAGGTCCAATGCGGCACTGTGGGAAGATCCGTCAGCGGCGATACCGACTCCCGCCGTCACCTCGAGCGCAGAACTTCCGATCGCTGCTCGCTTCATGTCAAATGTATCGGCAAGCAATGCTGGCGGTAGCCTGACAGACGCATCCTCAAAGAGCGTCCTAGCGCAATGGGATGCACACAAGGCAGCCGGCGCACAGAGCCCGTACTCGATGGGTGTCAGCAACATCAACGCTGCCGGTCAGCTTGCCACGCATACCGGCCAAACGCGAAAGCGCTCTGAAGCTGCGTATGGACTCGGCCTGGGTCTCGGTACGACAGCTACTCGCGACCGAAGCGCCCCGGCCTACATGAACATATCCACGGCGATCAAGGGCAAGGACAAGATCTCGAGGGCGCAGAAGCTTCGCGGCCTCTCGTCCAAGGCTGGTGGCGATGCGAACCCGCTTCGTCTGACGGTTCCGCTGCCTCCTTCGCTGCGTGAAGTGCTGGTCGCCATGTCCGAGGGTCTTACCGAAGCGCACGGTCTCCTTTCGGATGCGCTCAAGGCGAGATACGAGGAGCAGTGGCCTTTGGTCCGCAGCTTGGCCGATGTCTTCATGAAACACTCGCACATCCTCGAGCACTACGCCAGTTACGTTTGCCATCTGCAGAGGGCGATGGAGGAGCTGGAGGAGGCCGCCCTCATGGAACGCGCGTTCCGAGGTAAGCGGCTCAAGAAGGAGCGTCTCAGCAACACTGTCGGCCTCGGACGAACCGTGGCAGCCCTCGAAGCGTGCGCCGCCGAGCAAGGCTACGCTGGGCTCTCCATCTTTGCCTCGATGCCATTCCAGCGGCTGCTCAAGTATCCTCTGCTCTTTCAGAATCTGCTCTTCCACACGGACCCTTCAACACACGAATTCGAAAGCACCGTTGGCATGGTGGTTGAAGTTGAGCGGCTAGTGCGCTCCATCGAAGACGAGAAGGTCACGGCCGAGGAGAGGGACAAGTCGCGCGATGTCTTCGCCCGCATCGACGGCATCACTGACCGCGTCGTGCTTCGACCTCGACCCGATCGCGTTCTCATCGAAGAATGCGCGTTGTACGACGAAAGTGCTCGGAGGACACTGTCCGAATCGGCGCCCAAGGATGGGCGTAGCGACGCCAACGCCTCTGACAGCGAGGGCGCGGAGAGCGGCAGCGAAGGCTCAGGCCTCCGCAGCGGACGATGGGGCAACGCCAGCCAATCAGGGCTGCGTGCGGCGCTGCGGAATAAGCGATCCTACCGCCGGCTTTCCGACTTCCTGTCGGCAGAACAGGGCGGCGGAGGATCTTCGAAAGCGCCGACGATGGGAAGCAAGAAGGACCTGTGGCTGGTGCGTTTTTCGGACGTCGAGATCAAGTGCCAGCGCATTGGCGTGACGGCTTTACCCATGGTCAGCACCGCCGCGCTGCGCACTGCCGACGACGATGCAGCCGCAAACGAGCTGAATGACTTTGCGGCAAGGAGCAAGGACAGTCGGGAACGCCTGAAGGCCCTGCGTAGCACAACGCTGCGCGCCAAGACACGCAACCTGTATCGCTTTATCTCGGTGGTGGCTTGGCGCAACGCCGCAACACGGCAGATGTCCGCCTCAAAGGACGGAGGCCTTGACGGGCTTCCGACGTCGCACGAAGTTGACGAAGAGTTCGACGAGGCAGGCGAAGACGATGACGGCGCGAGTATCAGCAGCGATGGCGAAAGCAGCGCGACCAGCAGCGCTTCGTCGGACAGCAGCGAGGGTGTGGGTGGTCAGGCAGGGTCGGAGAAGTATGTTCGTTCGACGAAACTGTCGTTCACGTACTGGGGCGATCGCATCGAGCCCGGTCGGGCACTTGCAGCTCCGCACACCGGAAGCAAGAAGGGAACCGCCTCCGCACATGGCAGGGGCCTCGGCTCTGACAGACTGGGCGGACGTAGCGACGTTCAAGTGGCCGCATCGTTGCACCGTGCCTCTCACAGCACCTCCGCTGCCTCTGCGGACTCGAGCGTTGGTGCAAGCTCAAGGTCGACCCATGAAGTCGGGGCGGCTCGTGCTGATGGCCGAACGGATGGGCAAAGAGTGGCAAGGCAAGCTAGATGGAGTAGCGTCAATGGCGGCAGTATGGCCACCGCCAGCGCTGCGCGACCTGGCGGCAGCCGAACCGGTGTTTCTGGCCGTCTGAGCGAGCCTCTCGCCGCGACCTCGATGTCGACCGCGCCCGAACCAATGCAAACGGCCGTGGCGCAAATGCACGCGCGTCAGCGCAATGACAAGTTCGGCGCACGCCTGCGCAGCTCACTGCCCTATGGCGGCACGGGCTCCTCGGCGGCGGTCGGTGCGTCCACCGAGTCGGCGAGCTCTCACATCTCGGTCAACAGCGCATCTGAGGCACGTAATCGCCCTACCAGCGCCACGGGTGGGCTCTGAACCCACACTTTCAGGACAGTGCTAATGAAATCAGACACCGGTCACGCTCAAAATGAGTGTAGTGTGCGTCGCCGTTACGGGTCATGGTACGGCGATATGAACGCTGTTTGTGAGATGGCCGGTCGGGATGGTTGGGTGGGGCGGCGGCCGAGCATTGTGCTGACGGGTCGATGACGGCACGTAAGTGCAAGAATCGGGCATCGGAAGGGCGCATTCCTGGATTCTGGAAATAAGTCCAGATAAGGTGAAACAGCGGCGTCATGATGGCGTGTGACAGCTGTGGTGTGCAGGCTGAGCGCGCATGACAGCTGTGCAGCGGCAGCGAGGAAGTGCTGAGCAGCAAGTCGCCTCCACACGCACCGTGCGAATTTGCTCGCAACCCCTGGCAGCTAGCACGCGCCCGGCTTTGGTGCCTAGGGTTGTGCATGGCACCTTGCATGCGTCCCTTTCCTCGCAACGTTCACTACCCCTCGCCAGCGTTGGACACTCGTTATGCACGTCAAGATGGAAGCAATCTCGCCTTCTTCGTCGTACCGAACGGTACCTGATCTCAATGCCGGCAGCGAGTCGGAAGGAAGTACGGTTGGTTCTCGTCCATCATCGCCGATTGAGTACGAAACGACAACGACGACACGTCACGGAACGGCCTTGGTGTTGGAACAGCCCACACTAGTGAGCTTTGTGCCTACGTCTGAGATCCAGACGGCGGTAAGCATCACGCGCGACCGTGTCGTCATCGATACCATCCTACCACCAACCGCCACGCTCGCACGTTCAACCCCGCGCGCAGCGGCTCTTGGTTCAGAGCACGCGCCTCTTGGTCAAGAAGAGAGACAGGCGGTGCTGGAAAGGCACCAGGCGGAGCTATATGAGCTGTTGGCGAAGAAGTTCACGCCAAATTATGACCCGACGGGCAAGATCAGGGACGACATATTCACGACCCTAACGCAGCTCACGCGATTCCCGGATCCACCTGGCCTCAAGACGGCAAGCGACGAAGACAGGTGTCCGTGTATATGCTGCGAGCTGGGCTGTGATCATCCGCTCGAGCCACATCCACAGCAAGAAACAAGCCGCGGCGAAACCAGCACGCATTTGACGCAGGAAGCTGGGCAGGAGGAGCTGCATTCGTTCCTCGAGATGGACAAGCCGCGTTTTGGGAGGCCGGAACGATTGCTGTCGCTGCGTGCGCTCGCAGGCGCGTCAGACCGGGATGGAGACAAGAGAAGTGGCGGCTTCTGGGCATTTGGTCGATCCAACCGCTCGAGCTCGCAGTCGGACTTCAGTCAGTCCACTCAAACTACGTCGAGCTCCACACAAGGGTCCTCGAAACCCCCGCGAGCAGCGAATGCAACAGCTGAGGTCGGCCGCTCGCGCTCGTTGTCGGATCTGGTCCGAAGACGACGCAGCAAGCATATTGCGGCGACATCCACTCCGCCACCGCGCACCGACCATAGAGAAGCGGTGGTGCTGCCTGCACGTACGTCGTCGCAAGCTGAGCTGCGCTTCCGAGCCGAGACACCGCAGGAGACGCCCCAACCTCCACCGCGCCGCAGCAGTAAGCGATACGCCATTGTGTCACGAAAGCCCGTCCCGCCACACCATCCCACTGCCTCCCGTTCGGACCCTGCGCTGCATGCAGCACTTGCGCGCTCGGGCACAACCGCATATGCCATCGACCGCATCGTCGAAGAAGACGAAGGCGACGAGACCCTTTCGCGCCGACACTCGGCGCTCATGTCGAGCTTCCATGCGCATCCCGATCCATGGTCGCAGCCTCTGCACACTCCTACCTCGACAACGCATGTCGGGGTAGCCATCTAATCATCCCGCAATCTCGCACGATACCACCACCACACATACTGCACATAGCGAGCGTACTGGAAACGAGCAGACACGAATGCGGCATCATGAAATTTTGCGGACTTTTGAGAGCACGACAACGGGAAAGGCAGACTGAGTGACAGCTGCGTGGCAGCTTTGACCGAACGAACCCCACAACAAAGTGTCCACAACAAGAAGAAAGCTGGAGCGAGGAAGATCTAGGCGTCTTCGTGGGTGCCGTAGACGGGGGTCCACATCTCGCCCTGGACCCAGTCGCGGAGCTGCTCCTCGTCCATGGCGGCGGTTTTGCCGTTGTCGCGCGTGACGCCCTGCTTGTTGGCCATCTGGATGCAGCGCACGGCGATGTCGCGCGAGATCTCGCGGATGCGCTCCGTGTTCGGGTACAGCCTGCCCTCGGCACGCTCCTCGTCGTTGAGCGCATCCGAGAGCGCGAGCGCCGACTCGGTGATCATCTCGTTGGTCACGCGCGACGCCTTGCACAGTGCAGCGCACAGACCGATACCGGGGAAGACCAGGAAGTTGTTGCCCTGGCCCGGAATCATGCGCTTGCCCGTCGGCGACTGGCCCGCCTCGATCTCGGGGAACGGCGAGCCGGCAGCAAACAGCACGCGGCCCTCGGTGAACTTGACCGCCTCCTCAAACGTGCACTCCGAGTTGTCCGTCGGGTTCGACAGCGGGAAGATGATGGGCCTCTTGTTGAGCGTGGCCATCTTGCGGATCACCGTCTCGTCAAACGTGCCCTTGACCGTCGACAGACCCAGGATCGCCGTCGGCTTGACATAGTCGATAATCTCGGCGAGATCCTTGATTTGCCTGCCCGCGTTGTCGTCGCGGGCAAAGAAGACCTTGTGCTCCGGCAGCTTGTCGCCGCGGTCGGCGGTCACCAGACCCTTGGAGTCGGTGATGTAGATGCGCGAGCGCGCCTCGTCCTCGGACAGGCCCTGGCGCGTGAAGAACGACATGAGCTGCTTGCCCACGCCGACGGCAGCCGAGCCGGCGCCAGCCATCAGGATGCGGTGGTCGTGCAGAGGACGGCCGCTCTCCTTGGATGCAATGCGCGCGGCGTTGGTGAAACCGGCCAGAATGACGCTGCCGGTACCCTGGATGTCGTCGTTGAACATGGGGTACTTGTCCTGGTAGCGCTCGAGGAAGCGGAAGGCGTTCTCGGACGTAAAGTCCTCGAACTGGATGATGAGGTTGGGATACTTGGTGTGAAGGGCGTCCATGACCTCGTCCATGAACTCGATGTACTCCTCGGTCGAGGCGCGCTCGCGGCGCAGGCCGAGGTAGAGCGGGTCCTCGAGCATCTTCTTGTTGTTCGTGCCGAGGTCGACCACGATGGGCAGTGTGGCTCTTGGGTGGATACCGGCACCGGCGACATAGAGCGAGAGCTTGCCGATCGAGATGCCCTGGCCGTTCCATCCGAGGTCGCCGAGACCGAGGATGCGCGAGCCATCGGTGACGACAGCAATGCGCGGCGCGCCCGCAGGCACGGGCCAGTTCTCGACGATGTTGGCGATCTTGCCCTTGTCCTCGAGCGAGATCGAGAGACCCTCGGGACGACGGTAAATGTGCGAGAACTTCTGGCACGCCTCTCCGACGGTGGGCGTGTAGATGAGAGGGAGGATCTCCTCCTTGTTGGCCAGGATGGTGGCGTAATAGAGACGAGTGTTGGTCTGTCGCAGCGAGGCGAGCATCACGTGCTTCTCGAGCGGTGTGGATTTGCTGCGGAGCTGGTGCAGAACGCGGAGTACCTGGGTATTGAGGCTCTGCTTGGCTGGGGGAAGGAGTCCGCGCAGGCCCAGCTGGTCGCGCTTCTCATAGGAAAAGCCGGTGTCTTGATTTGGGAACGGATCCGAGATGATGCGATGGTCAGCGAGACGATCTGAGCGAGACAAAGACGTGGAGAACGAGACTGCGGAAGCCGAAGACGAGCGTCTTGGGGATGTGGAACGGGACGATGTCGAAGCTGTCGGTCGCGATACGGATGGGCCCGCTCTGGCCTCGGCATGACTGCACTGGGCCGCGGCGCGGCGCAGGCCACGACTTAGGGAACGAGATGGCGACGAAATCATTCTATGGACGACGAGGAGGTGGGTGGAAAGCAAGACGCAAGCCGGTAAAGCTGAAGAGCTAGCCGGCTATTTGAGTCGAGAAGATCGCAAGGCCGCCGGGTCTCGGGTCGACTGGCAACTCAGGGTCTTTCACACTGCGTCCCAGGCGGGGTCGGAAAGGACTGGGCGTGACTCGGGAGCGGCAAATCAAGGCAGCCTTGAAGTAGGAGGATTTAGCCCGGCGAGGCGGGGGGAAATTCCCGATTTAAGGAGAAAAAGAGGGAAATTGAGGAGAGCGGGGGCTGGAACCGGGAGAGGAGCGTGGGAGCAAATCCAGGCGCGATCTGACTCGACGGAGCTTGTGACTTTCTCGGGCAAAGTCGCGTGTCCCACGGCAGCCTCGCGAATTTGACTCGCCAGAATTCCAACAAAAAAGCAACAGCAACCAAAGCAACATTCCTGCACTTCGGCACGTCCGAGCCCCAATCATCCGAGCCAAGCAACGTCAGGTCACGATGGCAGACCGTCGGTTGTGCCTAGGGTGATTTTGGGGTTGCGTGACGCCACTAGACACGATACGACATCCCAGATGTGGGCCGAGTCGGGCGACCCACGCACCTTATCTAGAGGCTCGACAAAGAAGGGAGAGATAACCTCGAAAAGCGCGCCCTTGTTGGGCCCGCCTCCGAGCCAACTCCCGACCGTCGGCGCAAATGGTTGCTCCCGACATGCAGCTTGGGGACGTGCCAGAGCAAAGTCTTTTTGGGATGCCGGGCACGAATACGACTGCGCAAGGGCCATGCCGGGTGCTTTGAAGAACGCCGTGTCAAAAGTGGTATTGACCGGCGAATGTACTAGGCGAGACCCAATCAGACCCACCGCCCAATTTTTCCCCCTGCCGAGCATCCCCACAAAAAATGCGTGCAGCCGCGGCAAGGTGGGGGTGGGCGGAAACTTTTTGGCAAGAAGGCAGACTGAACTGCAATCATGGCGAGCGAGCATGCACCTGCATGCATGCGCCCCACTTGACTGTGCACGTCCAATGACCTTGCGGAACATCTGCATCTCTGCTTCCGGTCGTCCCCGGCGGAGAAGTCCGGACGCCTAGACGCTGCCAGGTGCAGTCGCATGACGGCGCGCGGGATGAGCAATTCGCCGAGGGCTGGCATGCCGAAAGAGCAACGGATGACCGGACCGGCCACCAACTCGAGCAGCAGCAGCCGAGCGCACCTCTGCTGGCGCCCTTCTCGTGCCGGATCAAAGACCAAAGCGGGAAACAGAACAGAACTGGAAGAAGACGAGACAGGGTCGTTACTCACCTTGGTTGGTAAAGACGTCTCGCAGGTTGGCAGCACCGCCAAAAGTGTGAGATGCAATGGCGCGACGGAGATTGTCGTCGCGCGGGTCCTCGGTCGTCTTGTCGTCCGGGGTGGTCTGAGCAAGCTTGCTGACCGGTGCAGAAGTGGCGCTGGGCCGCACGTCGGACACAGAGGGAGCCATCTTGGTCAATAGCGGGATTTTATCGAGCGTTGCAGATTCAGCCTGTGAGCAAGGATCGAGGAAGAGCTGAGGGGCGAATGTGCAGACGAGGACACAGATTAAGGCCACGAAGATGGAAGCTTTGAAGTCACAGTTGGACAGCAGATTGAAGGCTACGGCTAGACAGGCAATCTGAGCGGAGAGGAAGTGGGATGGACAGCTCACTGCAGAGGCCCGAAGAACGCTTGGTCTTATAAGGACGAACGTTGCACACTCCCGAAAGGGTGGCTGCATGGAAGAGCTCGCGGCGGAGGCAGATGGCCTGAGCGCGCCGGCGGGCGCTGACAGCTCCAGTGCTAGCCATTGGTTGTCGTCGACTGGTCGTGTGGGAGAGGCAGCCGGTTTGGGAGCCCCAGGGTCGTGAGGGTCGGCAACCTCAAACTCGACCCTCCCCCAACACCAACTGAGCCGAATGCCTACATCACAACCATTTGTTTTAATTTTGCTTTTTTGAAAATTTTTCTTTTTCTCAAAAAAGCAAAATTGCACCACAAACCAAAGCTTCGCTGTCTATTCTACTCTTGAAGGGCTTCGATCCGGCATTCTTCTGCCCCTCGACTATGAGGAAGCAACCCCATCATCACACCCAAGAACCTCCGATGTGCCTAATCTCCATATCGGAGATGCCGACCGATAAGCCAGAGAAAGGGCATCGCTTCAGCTGTCCATCACACGCAGCATGGGTGATGTTTCAAGAAGAAATATTGATTAATTAAAAATTAAATCTCGTCCAGCTGCAAGCGCCACGGCTCACTTCCGGGACCTTCCGGGTGCTCGCTCGGAGGTGGAATGAGGAACGAGGGTTTCGCAGCAGCCCTACCCTGTCCTACAGCTGTGTCTTCCGAGTCCACGACAGCACGAGTCACCACTGCTGCACGGCCCATGACTCTGAGGCACAAAAGCGCTGCCCGGACGGATCGACGTCTGACACCAAAATCATCTTGACCTGTCCGCCCAGCCGCGACAGTCGCAACACACCTAGAACCTGAGCCCTCCAGAATGCGCCCGATCTCACGATACAGATCTGCGGGCTCCGAGCGGCTACTGTCGATGTGTGCTTCACTTTGTCGGAATGGCCCCTGAACCCTCCTTACAGCGCCATCCGAAAACAGCTCAAGGGGGCACTGGACACGCTGCCGATTCCACAATGCTGAAAGACGTTGATGCGGAATGTGATCGCCTGCCGCGTGACCTTTATGACGAGGAAGTTCATGCAGGAGTCGACGTCAACGCCGTACCGAGCGAGTGTCACTCCGTCAGCATGCGCCTGCACCACCTCTGAGGTGATGTAGCCGTGCCACGACCCTGCATCGATACGAATGCGGGGTAAGTTGGGAAACGTGCAGGAGCGGGCGGGCGGGCACGGGCGGCGGCACTTGACCGCGCTGCAGTCTGGTCATCGCGAAGCTTCCCGCAGCATGTTGGCGAGTGCAAGCGGTGCGAGGCGAGAGCATCGTGCCCCTGCATCCAAGTCGAATTCGGGCGTGAAAGGCGTCAAGGACGTTATGGTGCCTACTCGAGCCCTTCTGCCCGACCGACGAGAATTGTGGAAGGGGAAGATTATGCACAGCGTTGCAATCTAATCTCGCCTAGATCGACCGAGTCACCCGTCTTACGCCGTGCTCCGGCTCGCCTCGCAACAACCCCGACACGCCAAGTCTCGCCGCCATGTGAATGCAAGCCTCCATCCGGGCCTGTGACGCTGCCATCGGCGCTAGCATTCGATCGCGAAGGACAAAAAGCTGAGACGCACCCTTCCGTATCGACCCGTCGAGACCATGATGCCATGTTCAAGTGAGTTGGTTGAAATCGGCTTAAGGATCAGGAGACGACAGCTCGCGGATCGGGAGAGAAGAATCCGGATCTCGGCCATGTTTTCTGCCTTTTTTTGGTGCTCGAGCCACTTCTTCCCAGGACGATACCTACGTTGATGCCAACCGCTTTCGCACTTTCGTGGAGTCAACGCGGAGAGGCCTGAGCTAATCGCCGGTCGATCGATCCGAGAGATGAGCGAGTCGGCGCCTACTGCTGCTGATGAGGCCAGCCGCCCTTACGACGCTACTTTTGCTTCATCCTCGACATTGGACATGTCGATCGACGAGCAGCTTGGAAAGGCAGAAGGATTCAAGGGCGAGGGCAATCAAGCATACGAGCGCGACCAGTTGACAGAGGCACTCGGCAAATGGCATATGGCGCTCCTTCATTGCGCCGGCATCAACTCGTTCGCCAGCATGTACGGCGCCCGCTCCACAGAAGCCGAAAACGAACGTGCTGCAGGCATCACCAGCGCAGTGTACAACAACATGGCAGCCTGCTATCTTAAACAAGCCAAGTGGGACAAGGCGGTGTATGCATCTTCCAAAGCGTTGGCGCTCGCACCCAAGAATCTCAAGGCGCTCTATCGTCGGGCCGAGGCGTATCTGGAGCTTGGAAGAAACCAGCTCGCAGCCAGGGACATCGACCTAGCCCTCGATCTGAGGCCGGAAGGTAAGCGCATTCAAGTTAGTTTCTTAGGCTACAACACGGCTCTAACAACGGGGTTTTTGCATAAACCGAGCAGATCCGGTCATTCGCAAATTGGGCGAGCGTCTAGTGGAAGCCTTCGAGGCCGAAGAGCGCAAGAGAGAGATGGACAGGACCGAAGAAGCATGATCGGAGTGTCGGATGTTGCGACACTTCTTCAATCGCCGGCTGCCATTCTGTTTGCGCACGATGCCATCGAGGTATGGCGATGGCCGCCAGCGAAGAACGCTGGCACAAGTCCAAAAATAACAGGGAGGCCAGCAAGCGGCGAGCGTCGCTGCCTGGTGGCTTGCAGAGGCCGTGAGATTTCGAGCGACGCCCAACTTGACGTGCAGCGTACTAGCACTGCGCCCCATGCATCCGATCTGCACGTCTGCACACGGACCCTCGCACCCACCATTTCATCACATCGTTCGGTCCGTTTTTCTTCAAAGTCACACTGAATTCTCCATGCACTTTGCTGCAGATGATGTGGTGTGGCCACTTGCAGGCAGGCTTATTGCCTGTCTCAACGAGTTGCGCCTCAGACTCGCTACGGTAATGCAGCTTGCACCGAGCGCGATGCCGAAGCCACTTTCTGCAGAGTTTCACGAGCGTGTCCCGCTACCTCCGCGTGCATCAGGGTGAACATGGCTCCCTGTCTTCGTTCTTACCCTTCGACTCTCTTGACATATCGCACATCACCACAGCATTGAGAAGCATCACTGTACCGTGTCTGCGCCTTGACGGTCGTGGGCCCATCGATCGATACAGATGAACGACGAGCGTCTCCGGCGTTGACTTACACCGCAAGCGTGAAGATGGATGCAGACCGGGCCGCAAAGGCTCGAAAGCATCCCCAGACTGCAGCCAACTTCTTTGTCGGTACCAACTCCAGGGTGCCGCGCATGACGTTGGCGCAGACAACTCACATCATTCCCTTGCCAGCACCGCCCACGCCAGGCCTCGCTCCCAGATCAGGCTTCGTAGCCGCTCGACTTCGAGCCTCGCCCTTTCCGAGCTCGCCTTCACCCTTCACCCCAACAACGCCGCCTCGGTCCGCCGCCAAGGCAGGTGCCAAAGTTTCGAAAGCGATCGAGCACTTTTCGCGGCCGTCGCCGTTACCGGGCTCATCAACCAGCACTCCGTTTCCGCCCGGGAGCGAGGTACCCGAGCAGAGACCAGCCGGCTCCAAAACATTGACGCCCACAAAGTCGAAGGCAGCTGTCGGTCGTGCCGATTCTGATGCGTACATTCGGAACAAGCCGGACATCCCGACAACGTCACGCCATCACATGCAGCCACTCCCTAGCTCGGAGCGTGTTGGGTATCCTCAGCCCCGTTGGAAAGGTCCCGACAGTCGGCCTGGCCTTTCCGAGACCGCAAACGCTACCTCCAAGAGCGCCGCAAGCGTCGGAGACGTGAAAGGCAGATCTGCGAACCTTGGCACGGGCACGACAGCATTGCCAGATGCTGGGCACAATGACGAGGTGTCAGCGGCACTCGCCCAATCCCCCGACCCATCTTTGAATCCTCGATCTACTCTCGTGGCCTCAACAAGCAAGCAGCTGGATCAGAATCAGCGCTTCGGGCATCACTCGACTGTCACACCTTCCTCTCAACAGATGCCAGCGTCTGCCGATGACACCCAAGACACACTCGCGCAAAATAAGCCACCTGCAAACCAATCGATAGGCAAGCTTGACGACGCAGTGGGCGCGGCCTTGGTTCCTTTGACTGTGCCTTCAAATATCGAGGCAGGAGAGCTACCTCTGACCTCCGTCCAACGCGACGCGCAAGCATCAACATCATCTGCAGCTCTTTTTCCGTTCGAGGACAATAACTCCGTAGACGATCTTCTCGAAGCAGGGTATCTTGACCTCTTCTCCCTGCCCAGCTCAAGTGCAGAGTCTTCCGGCGCGTCTGCTCGACCTGAAGGTGTCGCAGAAGCCTCGACCTCAATGTCTCCCTACAAAAAGCCACCTGCAAATAAGTCGCTCGACGGCAACATCGGAGATCGAGCTGATACCCGAGTTGGAGATCAAGAGCTAGTCTCCGGTCGAACCGTCGAATCGTCTTGCGTGACATCCTCTTCGAAGTCGCAATGGCTCAGTCGATCAGGAGGCGTGCTATTCGATGTGGGCTCCGAAAGCTCTGCAAGACGTAGGCCAGCGGGGGGTCCCGTTTCGCAGTCAAGGATAGAAGGTCAACGAGCCGGCACAGTCTTGGAGCAAGATGGCAGCGGCTATTGGTCCGTACCTCATCCGTACAATTCGTCGGAAGCCCTCGCACCACCCGAGGACGACTCATCTCGTGCAGAGGCTGATGAGAGACCGCAGGCGATCAAGGGGTCGTCAATTGGCCTTGCAACGCCTTCGATCGCCAGCCGCCCGCAGTCGCTATCGCAACTTGAGACCCGACCAGTGCCTAAAGAGTTACCAGCGATCGGGTTTACAGCGATCGACGGTCCTGAATCCAGCCCAGTCCAAAAAGACAGATTTGCAATAGTCGATTCCTACGCAGATCTCGGCCTAGTCGATCAGTCTGAATATGGTGCTTTGTCCCAACATGCTCGGTCTCCCACAAGGTCCGATACGCTCGCACTGGGTGGCTCTTCGAAGCAAGAGGAACAGCCGAATCATCCAAAGGAGCTCTCCTTGCTCTCTTCCCCACTTCGACATTGCGGGGACGGTTTTGTCCGGTTGAATCAGGAAGTCGATCCTAGTGGCAACCAACGTCTCGACCAGGAAACAAGGCCACTTCGTTCCCCAAGTCAACCTAGTTCCGACTCATTCGTGCCGTCTCATGATCCGGATAGGAGGACCGCTTCGCAAGCAATCTCCTCTGCCTCCGAAGACGATGTCAAGGACGTTCCTGGCGAGACAGCCGCCGATGCCAACAGTACCGGCAATCGACGCGCAGCAGACTCGGATCCCGAGGCAGCGGCTGTCGTTCCAGCCGTAGGCAAGGAAGCAGCTCCAGTCCGACTTCAACTCGATGCCCATGCCGAGCTCGATGCTGACGACGTAGATGAGGAAGATGACAGCGAGAGGCAGCTGGCGTTCGAAAGAATCGCGTCGTGGGTGCGTGAAACTGCCGAAGATCTCGAGCACGACAACACCGGTGAATTTCAGTCGCACGACCGACTGGAAGCACCAGTCATCTCAGCTCGACGTAAGACCCGCGCTTCTCTGCCTCACTGCGATGCGCCGGACCTTTTGCTGGATCTTTCGGGCTTGCTAGCCTCAGCGGAACCGGACGAGCTGTCACCGTCGCCATCAACAAATTTTTCGAAAGGTTCATCCAATCCGAAGCGCATCCTTGCGAAGACGGCTGACGTCTCGGAGGGGCTGCGCGATCAAGCACTCACGACCGAAGAAGAAGGACGAGCCTTACCTGGAATCCAATCCGAAAGTTCCTTCGTACCACAGCTGCAGAGGTCCTTCTCTCATCGCTCGCAAAGCCAAAAAGATCCATCTAAGCCGCCTCGAAAGGTGCCTGGTCGTCTCCATATCCCCTCGCCCCATCAGAACGTCGACGTCAAGGTCCGGCGACAAAGCCTCGAGCTACTAGCCACAAGGAAGGCAAGAGCAAAGTCTCCGAAGCACGAGCCCGCAGCGCTCGATCCGTCCTCTCCAGGCCCTCCAAGGAAGCGATCCAGCCACTTTGACAACGCTTTGCGAACGTGGTCGCATCCAGCTGACGACGAGGGGCAGTCTCCCGTCCGCCACGACCGGCAGGGCGACCATGTTGGGCGAATGGCCAAGCTTTGGGATGATACTGGTCAATCGAGTGAGGAGGAGGAAGTTGCATCTGTGACCGTGTGCAAGCGCATGACCCTCAGGCGCATGTCGGGCTTCACGGTCCACTCCACGCCTCGGCATGAGACTCCTCCCCTGCCTCTGCCAGGCAAGCTTCTTCGACAGACTGGTGAGGCCTTCAATCCCCAAGTGGCCGTCGAACAGGTCGATGCTGGCCTACGAAGCTCACTCGTTTCCGCCTGGCATCAGGTTGACGCAGGCCCCAGTCGGGTCCAATCTCAAGCAAGACGAAGTGACGTTGCCACAAAGCGAACCGCTGCTCAGCCAAAGCCCACATCACCCGACGAAGACATGGGCCTTGCATCTCCTCGATTGCTTGGCGAACCCCAGACAACCCCTACCGGTTTTAAGCCGCAAGCGACCGGGGCTGACTTTGCAGCCGAGTCGATCGAGGTCTTACGACCCGGCAACAGCGTCACTGGTAGCGCCGTTGATGGTCACGGGGCCTTGTTGAAGCCGACAACAGCCTCGCACCGCGTCCTCAAGCAGCTGCAGCTCCCGAACACGCGTACAAAGCTTGACAGCAGCATCAGATCCGACGTCAGGGGAAGTGACAGCACTCCTTACACCTCCTTCTCGGAAAGATCGACGCCAAACACGAGCCGTGCGGCTGCTTCGGCGCTGACGGACGAGACGCGCATCTCGGACCTGGCAAGTTCGCACCCACCGTCTTCATCCGGCAAAGCTGCTGTTCGAGCGCATGGGAATGTCGCGCAGAGTCGGACGGCCTCCAAGCCCACGCTGCTTGGATCCCAGCTCAAGACTCGGCAATTTGGCAGAGAGCATCGTCTGGATCCCGGCCACCACACTAGCTTGCACGCAGAGCACAGGCGACAGTACGAGCGGGGTCCAGTGCACCTCGGCCGTGAAGAGCCCTTGACTTCAGCTCACCGCCACGAGCATCATATGGACGAAGATGACTACCCCGCGGACTCGGCGCGATTCTCGGAAAGGCAGGGCTGCACGGGAGCGCATCGCTGCACTTGCCGACACGATCGACATTTCGACCACAGAAGCCAAGCATTCCCGGCGTTCGAGATCAGCTTTCAGATGCAAGAGCCCAAGATGGCCCCGCACTGCTCGCCTGGATCCATGTTTGAGTTCGGCCTGCGCGTCCTCATCAAGCCATGCGGCGACGACGACGCCGCGAACGCCACCTGGCGAGTCCGCCCGCCGTCGGGACTCGAGGTGCATCCAGGCGCCGATGCGGGCGGGCGAAGCACAGCGCGCGCAGGCGCGGGCGCTCTTCGGTACGAGCACAGTGACCTCACGCCGTGCGAGATGAGGCGAGTGCAGCACGAGGCACAGGAGCAGCTGGTGCACACGCTCACCTCGCCGCCGCGGCGCCCCGCCGATTCTGTGGACCTTGGCGTCGGCGAGACCGAGTGCGGGCTCAGCTCACCTTTCTTGAGCCCAGGCACCAATCGCGCATCGACGTCGACGTCCGCACGCCCTCCCTTGCGCAAGATGATGCTAGGGTCTTCGCGCGCTGCGTCCATCACCACATCGAGAGACGCCGACGATGCGTCCCGATCCCTGCGCACGCCGGCAACGTCGGTCTCGCGCCGCGTCGCACCTGTGCTTGCATCGCCTCTGCCGTACGTCAAGCGTGCGCCACGCACCGCCGTCGCGTCCAGCCGCACGCTTCGCTAGCCACGCAACAACCCAAGCTCAAGCCTTGTAGGGTGTGCACCGCGTATTTGTTGCTGCGACTGTGATGAGGGACAGCGAGGGAGGCAGATGTCGGATGAGCCGATGAGATTGCGGTGCGACGGATGAAAAGTTGAGCATGACTGAGACCTCGGTTGGAGGCGTTGCACACAACTCCGGACAGCACTTTTCCGTTTCGCAACGACATGCGGGATGGAACCGAAGCAAATGACAGATGAACCTGGCGGGCCGGCGGCTAGGCGGAAGGCGCAGGCTGATAGACGGCCATCGACATCGTCCTCGAAGAGACAGGAGTGACCAGTGCTGGAGGGCTCCTGCAAACAAAGGATCTTCGTCGCATTGTCAGAGCCTACGTCGATTGAGCTGGAGCCGCCGACGAACTCGACCTGGCCGAGAGAGGCGGGAGGGAGGACGGCGGTGACAGGCGGGGAGGTGTGGGTGCCTGCGGCTGTCTGCTTCACAGCGTCGACTCACGGTTTCAGTGGGCCACAGCGTCAGACCTTGAACTCAGATCTGGGTCAGTGCGCAAACACACGTCGTCGCTGTTGATGGTAACATGAAAGAGATAGAATTACAACAGAGGACCGCCTCTGTGAATGCATGGAGCCAAGAAAAAGATTGTTCAAAGTACATCGATGCGCGCCATGTCTAGCTGGCAGGTAGGCTTTCAAAAGAATGGCAGTGAGCATGGCTTCCTGCTCAATGGCTGCCGAAAGCGAGAGAAGGGAGGTCCGGAGAGGACTGCGACAATGTTCCGCCACGAATGTGATCGGACTCTGGGGCGGAGAGGTCGTGGGACGTGCGCGTCCGAGGCGTATCCGTCCCGTGCGGAGCCAGCATAGGCGTGGACTGATGCGGACGTGCTTGCGCGTGTTGCGAACCTACGCCCGCCGGTCCTGTCAATCCGTCTGATGCCGCAGGGAAAGCTTGAGATGGAGAAGATCCGGGCGCATCGCCATAGATGCCTGTGGACCGGGCCAGCTTGAGCTCGGCTTCTTCAAACTTCATCAATTCTGCGACGAAGCCGATGTTGGGTGAGCTGGCTGCTCGTCGCTCGACCACGTACGAGTAGGATCGTGCTAGCGGCCATCGCAATGCATGGATGAGATAGGCAATCACGATGGTCACTGAACGTGACTTGCCTGCCCTGCAATGCACGTACACCGGCTCCGAGCGCAAGCGGGCGTCGTCGAGGAAGTCACAGGCTTGCTTGATGTTGTCTTGTACTCCTTGCGCCTCGACGCTGTCCAGCATGGGGAGCTTGAGGTAGCGCCTGAATCGCTGCCGGAGTTGCAAAGGCCCACTTTCGTCGATCTCGCACGCCACGTTGAGGATGCGATGAACTCCTTTCGCCTGCAGCTCGGCCACATCGTTCTCGGATTGTACGTTGGATCCGAGATAGAGGAAATCGGGCAGGATGGTCGACATTTCAAAGGCAAAATCCTCACCGATAACTTCAGTTCGAGGCTGATGCGATTCGAGGGTCGAGGCTGCGTCTCGATTGCTGTTCCGAGGCTGGTCGGGTGCGTCCGACGTGCTTGATAGCAGCGCGTCGAGACCGTGAGACTTGACCGAATGATGCGAGCGAGGGACCTCCATAGTAGGTATCGCGAACCGAGGTTTGGCCGCGTGCGGAAAGCTGCTGAGCGTAGCCGACCTGCGCGGTACGGAGGTGTCGAGCTGAAGCTTTAAAGACGACGGCGACTTGCGGACGATGGCGGGTGTGGATGGCACTGCTCCGCTCGCAGCCGATGATGCGTTCTGGGTGCGCAGCATCTCTGACGTGTTGAGACGTGCGAGCGTGGGCCTAGCCGGGCGGGAAGGATGTGGGGCCGCGACGGGGTCGGATTGCAGCGAGGAAGGGGTGCTCCACAGAGCTGGTATCGCCGTGGACCGATTGAGGGAGAGGGCACTAGGGATCGTTGAGGCGTGTGACGGATGAGATCGGGCCGAGGATGATGTTGCGACCTGCTCCGGGCTGGCAGACAAGCCTGCCATCTGGAAGCCGGAAAGCAAAGGTGCGCCGGTACATTCCAAGTCGGCGGCAGACTGGCCATCCAAGTGCTGAGCCGAGCGGTAAGTGGTCGGAGGAGTCGGTTCGTTGGAAGGCGCAAGGCGTGTCGAAACTACGTCGAAGGGTGGTGAGAGCAGCTTGTTTGCGGTGGGCGATGATGGTGTGAGCGTGGTAGGAGTGCAGGTGCCGCGCCTGGAATGGATGGACGAGGAGCGGGAAGGCCCCGCCTCGGAGTGCTGCGCCTCGCCGGAGCGCCAGACGGGAAGATCGGCCGACCAGAAGGATTCGGTGGAGATGGCGGCACCCTTGACCAGACCGTCAAGAGAGCGGCCTGCAGTGCCGGTGGCCATGGTCGGGACGTCCTGATGGACGCCTTGGATTGTGTCCCAGTCTGGGTTCGGATCTAGTGTGGTGGGGGAGAGAGACACGCGAGCTCCGTTTGAATGGTGGAGCTTGTGTGAGCGGACGACGGTGGTGACAATCGAAGACAGGCGCCTCTTTCCCATGAGCTCGAAGCAAGTCCAGAGGCAATCCTAGCCGGAGTGTAGAGTGCTGGGTTGCGGCAAGTACGACGCTCCGGGGAAAGACACAGGGGCGGCGAAGTGGTTTGTATGGAATGTGATGGTGAGCACGGCTTGAGGCGAAGTCGGAGGCGGTGTGTGGTAGCGGCAGCACCAGAGCTGGGCGTGATTGTGGCTAGGACGGGCGTATTAAACGAGACTGGACCGGCCAGATGAGAGAGGTCCAGACCGTTTGGGCAAAGCGATGTGCTAGCGTGGTGGATTTTGGCAATCTAGCATGGACAAGGTGATGGTGGTGGGCGACGAAGGGATGCAAGGCAAGGAAGCCGACCCGAGGATGATGGCGGGGTGGAAGGATGGAGTACGGGCGAGACAATCGAAATGCCCAGTGTTGTCCCCGCAAGTGCGCCGGATGGTGATTGATGGCTGCGGGGGGATGCGAAGCAGCGGCTGCAACTGCAAGCTGTTGGTCCACGGCTAAATTTCGAGCGCAGCAGCCAGGCAAAGGTTATTCGGCTGGGCCGCCAAGAGCGCATCAGCCAGCAGCATCCAAAGGCTGTGTCGGATGCGCGAAATTGAAATTTGGACGCCGCCAGCGGAGGCGACCAGCGCAGAGACAACTACGGGAGCCAAGAGCGGGAGACAAACAGCTTCGGCTACGGCGCTGTCTAGCTTTGGCCGCGCGATGGCGGCGGCAGCCATCTAAAATTCAGGGTCGACATCGGACGCCGCGCAACGCCTCAGCCGACCATGCGCAGTCCTTGCCGGCCATACGGTGACTAGGCTCGAGCTCCGCGCGGACGCTGGCGGCGACGCAAACGGGGCACCGTGGCTTCGTAAGCTCTGAGTTGGAGCGCTGAACCCCGACGCAGGCTTTGCACGGTCGACTATTGTGCTCGACTGAGCCGTAACTAAGCGGAGAGCGAACGAGATGAAAAGAAACGGCAGCGTCTTTGTGCTGCCTCTGCGGCAACCAGGAAAGAGTGGCCGTGGCCGAGGACCGCATGGAGAGCCTCGAGCAGGCCAGGCCAAGTCGTCGCCATGCTTCCGGTCGTAGTGGCGCCTGCAAATTTCGGCAGGGTTCGCCGCTCTCGAAACGCGCTGCTCTGCGCGGCGTCGGAATGCCGAAGAGTCGGATGGCCGCCGAATTGGCTCCGAACCCAACAAGACGAGGCGGCCGACCGCAGGATGCTCTGTAGCTCAGCTTCGACAGCCCAGTCCATATCGCATGCCATCGGCTCCGCCGGCCAGCTAAGAATGACAGGGGCCTAATGAGGGCATGGCGTCCAAGATCAATCTTCTCGAACGCTTCCCGGCGACGCCCCAACAGGGCGAAGACTTGACCGAGGTGCCGCGAGCGTGAAATCGGGACCGCAAGCTGGGCGCTCGCCCGATCTGACCAAACGCCACTCCATATTTCCTAGTTCCAAAAAGCGCTTCGATCTGACATATATGAAAAGCTTAGTATCGTACGATAAATCCGATCAAAGGGCTGACCACTCCTGACAAATGCTTGGCTGTTTGCATCCTCACCTGCTGCAGCCATACTGCCGCTACCGTGTCTCCCTTCAGCCATTCCAGATGTCCTTTCGCCAAGAGTAAAACTTAGATCGCCTTGACCTCTTCTCAACAACATTGCACAACATGATTGCAGAGGGTGAGGCCGCTGGTTGGTGCCGCCACAATGAACCAAGATGAAGCAGCGGACTGGGCCGCGGTCAGCCGACCAGGCCTCCATCTTGCAGGCAGCACTGGTGCTGGGCCGGCTTTTCAAATTCGAGTCGTGCTCCGCCTTGAATCGAGGCCCTTTGAAGAAGAAAAAAAGATCGATCACCCTGAATCCGATGCCTTTTGGAATGCAAAAGTCTGTTCAAGAAGAATTGAGCTGGGCTCGGGCCGCTTTTTTGGCTCGAGACTAACACCCAAAGGCAACCCCGCTCTCGTGACTCTCGCGGCCGGCAGTGGCCTGAAAAGAAAAAAGGCCAAACATGCGCGTTCCCTTTGTCTGAGCGTGTGGGCAGGCGAGAGAGAGAGAGAGAG